TTTTTAATTTATTTATTTTATGCCCACAATTTTATTTTTTGAATTGTCTATTTTTGTTATTGAGTGGTCTGTTGACTGATCTTTGTATTTGTTCAAATGTTTGTTATGGGCAGGTTACAATATAAAAATATTTGTCATAATCATGTCTTGTGATTATTTGACAGGAGTTTTACTTTTAAACTGTAAGTGTATTTCATTTAGTTATGTTAGTTATGATAGTTTAGTTAAGATGTAAATACAATAAAAATTAAACCAAGATTTAGAATAATTATCATTTTGATCCGTACAGTGGTAATGTCTGACTGGGCCTCATGTCACTTTATGTTAAACAAACTGGGCTCCGAGGTCAAAAAGGTTAAGAACCCCTAGTTTAAAGCTCTCGCACCTCAAGGCATGCGTTTCTTCAAGAAATGCTAGTTTGTTTTTTTATTTCTAAAAATGTGGTGCAGACATAACGCTTGCCCCTCCATCTTTGCCACAGTGACCACCACAAACCCACCTCCAGGCGTGAGTCATGTGCGGCGCTGCAATGATTCGGAGAAGGCCTACTGCGTCAACGGAGGAGACTGTTACTTTATACACGGTATCAACCAGATGTCCTGCAAGTAAGTTGGTCTTTCACTCATCCTCTCACCCTCTCACTCGCTCCCTGCATCTCTCCGCCTGCTGTCTGAGGTTCACTCCTTCTGTTTCTCATCTGATCTCAGTGTCGTTGGTTCGTGCACCACCTTGTGCTCAGTTTCCTGTTTATACCCTACACCCCAAATACGAGCCTGCAACCCCCCTGATCACACCATCATGTTGGAGGGTTTGTTTCCACTTTGTATCAGCTCCCAGAGAAACGTAGAGCAGATGGCTGCACCAGATCTTCACCTCCACTTAACGTCCATTTTTAAGTCCTCGTTTCCAGCTGTGATCATTTGAGCAGCGTTCAGCTGTGAGTGAGGTCTGCTTGTGATAAAACAAAAAAAAATCATTGTGCACAAGAGTGTACAGTGTAGTTTTAATGTAAATATCCTTTCTAGTTTTAACTTTAATAAACAATAAAATCATCAGTTCAGACAATTGTAATTGTAGGGGAACTTCTGAGGTTTCACTTACACTTCTTATAACACACGGTTATAAGGAAATACACGGGTCCTTCTTATTTTTGGTAGATATGTCTTCCATGCAAAAAATGAATGGACAAAACACACAATAAAAAAATAGAAAACTTCTGCATGGAAATTTCAAAACAAAAGTTTCTCTGTGAGTAACTTTGGTAAGCAAAAAATAGACGAGACCGAGTGATGGTCTGGTCCAGGCTGAGAGGTTCCCTTTGACTCAACGGGCTAAACCTCACAGCCAAATGCTGGTTCTCCTCCTAGGAGAGCCACAGCCCAGAGGAGGAGCTAGTCCCAACCAGCTGTTTCTGCTCCCCTGCCTGGCTGCCTCAGGACACTACAGGATTTCTCAAACATGCATGAATGAGTCAAAGCAAGACTCTGGGCATGTTTTTGATGAGAGGATAACATTAACATGATATAAAAATCAAAAAAGTTGATTTTACATGATATTGCCTTTATGGTGTGGTATGAGGGCCAAAATTAAGTCTAGTGCACAACCAGCAGTTTCTACATCCTTGTAGCAGGAGGCTACGGCTGTATCCAAAACGACAGGCTGGGTCCTCCGAAGGCCGAATTCATCGGCCGCATACGTCACAGCGCCGCGACGAAGGACGTCCMAAACCGAAGACTCCTCTGATGCGGCCGACAAATACGTCCTTCTTTTTCCCCGATTTGAAGGACAGGTCCGATGGATCCTTCCCGGCCCAGCATATCCCATAATGCATTGCGGCCCGACCGGAGATTTTTTTTAAGCTAGTAATGACGGACGAAGCGAGAGAAAAGAATACGTTTTAAATAAAAAATATGGCGATATAAAAATTAAAAAATTTTAGCAGTTGCATTTCTAATACTTGTATCATTTGTATGGACATGTTTTTAAATATTATTTTTATCATAGAAATCACAAAATAAACATGCACCTATAAGTTAATTTTATTGTTTTGTGATATTAATAATGCTAATATATTGATATTTCTCTAATTTTGATCTATTTTTGCTTGTTTAGCATCGTCATGGTTGCTAGGTGACATGACGTATGCGGGGTAAGGAGGGGAGGCTAGACCGTCCAAATTCACAGACTCTTTTTTTTTCCGGTCTTCCCAGTCTACCAAGGACCCGGCCCACCTCGACAGGGTAGTCTGGGTCCTCCGGAGGACCTGGCCTGTCGTTTTGGACACAGCCTATACCTATTCCTAAGTTAGCTACTTATCTGAATAACGATAGGCCGGCACCGCAAACTGAGCAGCTGGCCCCGATTACTGAGAACTGGTGCTGGCAAATGAGGAGACCATTCATTTGTATTAGCATTGGAGTGGCTAGCGACTAACGTAGGCTAGCCTAGGCTACTCATCTACTTTATTACACAAACTTTGTTGAAAAAAAGGAAACTTTCTGAACAAAAATGGTCGACAAACAAACCCTATAAGCTCCATGCACTGACAGGTGTTCCTCAGACAGAACTTACTGTTCAACATGACGCCAATCATAAATATTAAACATAAAACATATTACTGTGAATCAGACAGCTTTAGTTACCACAAGAATTAGCAGCTGTGTTTGTCCTCGTCTACTGGTCGACGGCTGTCTTTATTTTTTAATTTTTTTCTTTTCTCTTTAGCAATATGAGAATTATGAGAAAAGCCAGAACTATAAAGTTGGGGCTTTTTAGAGAAAGTTTATTATATAGATAAAGTAAGTTTTTTTATTCAAAAATGTTTGTGTCTAATTAGTAGGTGAGCAGCCTAGGTATGCTAGTCGGTAGCCTCTCCAATGCTAACGTTAGCTAATCCATGCTAGTCTCTAGCCTCTCTGATGCTAACACAAATGAATAGTCTCCTTCTCATTTGATAGCACTCAGTTAGTGGTGCCGGCCTATCATTCATCAGATCAATAGGTATAAATATAGCCTCCTGCTACAAGGATGTAGCAGCTGTTGGTTGCACAATGTCTTAATTTTGGCCCTCATACTGCGCCACATAAATCAGGACTCATTACCTGTTTTTATATTTTTGCCAGTTTTGGCTAAATGCATACACCTACCTGATGTCTTCAATTATGTTGAGACCTTCACACACACTTTTAAACACAATTAGAATTGTTTTTGTTTAAAAGACTTGGTTTTAGTGTAAAAATCCCCACTGGGGACTCTTAAGCAGTATACAGGGAGGGTTGTTTTTATACAGTGTACAATCAGACAGACAGCTGGCATCACTTTCACAAAAAGTTAAAAGAGACAACTTCAATCTCCTCCTGAATCCTATCTCACTAAGCTAATGTTAGGATGAAGAGTTGGCACAGTCAGCTCAGCTAACAGGGATGTCAGATCTGTACTTTAGTCCTTTATCTTTTTATAATTTGACTAAAATCAGTAAGACAAACAGGTTAATTTACCTTATGCTGGGTAATTAAGGGTGCTAATGTAAAAGCGTTGAAGCACCCTTGTTACAATTTGCCAGTTATTCTTCTGTTTCTGTCACAAAAACTCCATCAAAACATGATGATTAGGATCCTTAATTGCAGTAGTGTGCTGTGACTTTTGATATCAGTATATTGTATTGGGTGGACAGAATCCACCACTACCACCAAAATAAATAAATAAATAAATAAATAAATAAATAAATAAATAAATAAATAAATAAATAACTTTTCCATTTACACAGTGAGACTTTGGCAAAGTAAGTTAACCAAGTTCATAAACTTTTATAGTTTTAACACCAAAACATCAACATTTTATCAGTCTATAATTATTAAAAAGTTAGTCTCAAATTACATTTGGGCTTTATAAATTTTTTTTATGTATGTTGGAGGTTCAGTCTGTAGCTGTATTAGCACCATTTTCTAGTTCTATGTGTTCTCTTCCCAGTCAATGATAACCATGACTTTAAATTGTATCTTACCCCCCCTGTGAAAAGATAACTCCGCCCCAAGGCGAAATTTGAAAAATGCATCAAAGTGGGTAGGGGAGAGGTGTGGGTGGGGAAGGGGGAGTTAGAGAGCGGAGGTGTGGCCAGGACGAGAGAACGTGACAGGCAGCTAGCATTAGCATAATTGATGCTACATGGAGAGTGACCACAGTATCGCAGATAGTTACATCTCTGAACGTCTGATGTGGAGGATTTTCACCCCACACCAGCCTCGGACAGAGGAGGAGGAGCGCTCCGCAACAGCCTGACATAAAAAAATAAAAGCGCAGCGGTCAGCTCTCCCCACCCGAGGCTGAAGGTCAACAGACGATCATGCTAAGCTTGCTAACTGTTCCACCCTCTGACTGCTGCAGGGGCGTGTCTTAGAGAGAGGCTTTTATACCAGAACACAGCTGCTGTGACGAAACCGTGGAGAAGCACGTCACCGTGGAGAGCTGTTAACCAATATGCAAATTAGCCTGCAGTGCCACTGCTCCACCCATATGAGCAGCAAAAACACGTTTTTGGACCAAATATTACAGATTTGAACAAATACGCGCAAAAACATCAAAATTAGCACAGAAACAGTACTATATAACAT